AGTCGTATGAAGTAAAGACAGCATTCTTACATGGCGAGTTAGAAGAAGAGATCTATATGGACTTGCCTGAAGAATATGAAATGAACAATTGTGTCTGCAAATTAAAGAAAAGCGTATACGGATTAAAACAAGCAGGAAGATGCTGGAATCAATTCCTACTGAGGGTCCTCATGAAGAATGGATTAATACAAAGCAAGGAGGATCCTTGTTTGTTTTTTAAGAGGGAAGATAAAGAATTTTTATATTGTGGAATACATGTAGATGACATGATTGTAGTATCAAGCTGTGATAAGTTTGAAGAGTATTATATGAAAAAGATAGGAAGAGAAATAGAGATAAAGAATTTAGGAGAAGCAAGAAGTATTTTAGGTTTACAGATTGAACAAGATGAAGGAAAAGTTATAGTGCATCTTAAAGATTATATAATGAAACTATTAGAGCTGTATGGAATGAATGAATGTAATTCCGTGACAACACCTATTGATGTTAACGTAAAAATGGATAATCATGAAACTAGTCAGGTATGCAATATTAATGAATATCAAGAGTTATTGGGAAAATTGATGTACCTGAGTGTATATGCAAGACCAGATATTTCGTATGCAGTGACATGTCTGTCACAATTTAATAAAAATCCCAAAGTCATGCATTTGAACGGGGTAAAGAGAGTATTAAGATATCTGAAGGGCACTATTAATTTTAATATGATATATGGGAACGATACTCAAATACAAGAAATTAGAGCAGAGACCGATGCGTCGTGGGATAGCACGAAAGTTGCCAAGTCATTTACCGGGTTGCTGGTGTATAGGAATGGAGATTTAGTACAGTGGAAAAGTAAGAAACAATCTACAGTGGCGTTGTCGTCTGCAGAAAGCGAACTCGAAGCGATGTTAGGTGTGAAGGAAGTGATTTGGTTTAACAATTTGTTGAGAGAGATTGGTATGGGAAATGGAGTGAGAAGGATGATAAAGTGTGATAATTTGAATGCAGTGAGATTAGCTAATGGGGGAAATTATAAGAGTAAATCAAAATTGTTAAATAGAAAATGTCATTATGTTAAAGAAGCTGTAACCCGTGAAAATTTAACTATAATACATGTACCGAGCGAGAGAATGACGGCTGACTGTTTGACTAAACCTATTAGTGGACCGAATTTATTACGGAATGTACGGAAAATATTACAAACTATGTAAGAATAAAATCAAGGGGGATGTTTGTGTGAATGTAGTTGATTTTAGTGAGAGAGTGAAGGGGGCGATATGTGTGTGGGATGGAGACGCAGGATGTGTATTGCGTATGAGAGAAGCGAGAACAACGTGCGAACAAACATAATCCTTTATTCAAGAGAATATATATATTACGTTCTATATACTATGAAAGTTTGGTTAAAATTCCGATTCCTGCTCCCACATTTTGGACAATTTGAGTTTGTAAAAATGCCTTTTGGCTTAAAACCAGCGCCGACAAAATTCCAACGCTATGTCAGTGAAGTACTTGACGAATTGATTAGATCGGGTGATGTAACTGTGTACATCAAAGATGTACTTATTGCAACTGAAACTTTAGAGCATCATTTCCATATTTTGAAACGGTTATTTAAATTAATGGTCGAAAATAAGCTTAACTTACGAATTGACAAGTGTACAGTTTTTATTCACAAAAATGCAATATCTCGGATCAATGGATCGGACAAGATTACAGCAGAAGGAATTAGTCCTACTGATAGTGGTATTGAGGCAGTATTGAAATTTCCGGTGCCTAAAACCACACGTAATATACAGAGTTTCATTGGTCTTTGCTCTTATTTCCGGAAATTTATTGAAGGTTTTTCGGTAATAGCTAAACCACTTCATGATTTATTAAGAAAGAACACTAAGTTCAAATTTACGGAAGTTGAGTTAAATGCATTCGAGACGATAAAATCAAGATTAGTTACAGCGCCGATATTGGCAACTTACGATCTTCGTGATCCAACTGAGCTGCACTGTGACGCCAGTTCATTGGGTTTCGGTGCTGTACTTATGCAGAAAAAAAATGATTTGAAATTACACCCAGTATTTTACTTCTCATAACGTACAACTGAAATCGAGAGCAAATACCACAGTTTCGAACTTGAAACACTGGCAATAGTCTACGCACTTAAGCGGTTTAGAATATACTTACAGGGAATTCCATTTAAAATAATTACAGATTGCAATTCGCTTAAATTAACGTTGCAGAAAAAAGATATAAATCCTCGAATCGCGAGATGGGCATTACAATTAGCAACTTACGATTATAGCATAGAGCATAGACCTGACGATCGAATGGAACATGTCGATGCCCTTAGCCGTGCGATAAGCATATTAATAGTAGAGGATAACCCATTTGAGTATAATTTATCCGTATGTCAAACCCAAGATAGGAAAATTAAAGAAATAGCTGATAGGCTGGTAAAGTGTGAAGATGCTAATTTGGAGCTTAAGAATGGACTTGTTTATAGGAAAAGAGATTCCGAATTACTTTTTTATGTACCGGAAGGCATGGAAACAAATATAATATTTCAATATCACGATCAATTGGGTCACTTGGGCGTAGCGAAAACCGTTCATACAATATTACAAAGTTATTGGTTTCCAAATTTGAGACAGAAGGTAGAAGCACACATAAGAAATTGTACAAAATGTATAGCTTATTCACCAACAACCGGGAAAAACGAAGGCATATTGCACTGTATTCCGAAAGGCGAAATTCCGTTTGATACGTTACATATTGACCATTATGGACCGGTAGATAAACAGCATTTGATAAAGCGACACGTATTTCTCATAGTTGATGCATTTACAAAATTTGTAAGATTATACGCAACTAAAACAACCGCCAGTAGAGAGGCTATGAAATGCCTAACTGATTATTTCGATAGTTATAGTAGGCCGCGAGTAATTATATCAGATCGCGGGTCATGTTTCACGTCACAAGAGTTTAACGATTTTCTAAACGAAAACAATGTAAAACACGTATTAATTGCTACCGGTTCTCCTCAAGCTAATGAACAGGTAGAGCGAGTAAATAGAATGTTAACGCCTATGTTAAGTAAAGCTACAGAAAATGATAGTGGGAAGTACTGGTATAAAGTACTTTACTTACCTCCACGAAAAGATGATTTTGGCTAACAACGTTCCGGTGGACGTTTATCGAGGGAATGCCGGATGAAGCAATGAAGATGCATGCGTACACGCATCGTTTCCGGACAACGGCGGATTTGTTGGAGGCGTTTTCAAGGGTCGCATGGCGAGGTAAAAGTGACAGCTCGATTCACCGTCAAGTGAGAGGATCACTCGGAGTGGATGGCACCGGTCAGCAGATGCAGCAACGGGGATTCGGCGGTCAGGGGATGCAGCAGCGAGGAAGCGGCAGGGAGGAGGTGCCACGTCGGGGAAGTAGCGGCTTGAGGAGGTGTCATTTGTGCGGAGCTAAGGGACATCTGGCAGCGGAGTGTCCTACGAAGGACAAAGGTGTACAATGCTTCATGTGTTGTGGCTACGGTCACATTTTTACGAGTTGTCCAAAAGGTTCGACTGTGTCCAAGGAGAGTTCCAATATCTCGCAAGCTTCTAACGGTAAAGACCATAAGACAGTTTTAAGGGGTAAAACCACTCTAGGATTTTCAAAAAATCGATTTTTTTGCTTAAACGATACTTTAGGGTCATAGAAACAGTACGCCATTTGATTTATAGTGGAAAACAAATTTTAAAAGGTTCAATTATCGATTTTGCCGCAGCGCCTCAGAGCGCGCGCTGAGCACTCACGCGGCGCGCTGTGATTCATCGCTTTTGTACTACTTTTACCTTTCGAAATAATAAGTTTACCTGTTACCTATAAAGCAAACGGTTCTTAGTGTGCACACGCTTCGTTTTGCTTTTTCCGTTCATTTCTCTGTTTTATATACATGTATATTATATATTTCGTTGTGTTGAAGTGAATAACAAAAACAATATGAGTGATGAAACGCCAGTGTACAATGAAAAAAAGGCCGGAAAGGGGAAATGCAGCAATTTGAAGAGACCGAAAATTTCAAAGCGGCGGCCGTTGAACCGGTACGAAATGGAGAAGCCTAGCGTCGAGAATGTTGGCACATCAGCTAAAAAATTATCAGCAATCGATCCTGACGATTTTGAAGTAGACGAAGGTTTTGGTTACCGAATTTTGAACTTTTTAGCAGTGTTCTCCGCTATATCGCAAGCTGTGGTGTGCAAAAAATGCAAATCTGATGTGACATTCATCGAATCTGGAAAGCGCGGATTGGGATTCAAAATTGTAATTTCATGTCAAAAATGCGACAAGATTTATATTCCTAGTTCTCCATTTATTGAAAAAGGATACGAAATTAATCGAAGAATTATTCTTGCTGTGCGGCTGCTGGGCGTAGGATTGAATGGAATAATGAAATTTTGCGCGTTCATGGATCTCCCTCGGCCAATTTTCCAATCATTTTATGACAAAGTTGTTCAAAAGGTGGAGCTTGTTGTCCACTTTTCAAAGTTGGAGCAGAGGCGGTTTGTCAGCTTAGTATAAAAAATGCAGCTCGAGAAGAGAAGGAAAAAAAGTGACGAAAAAGTGACGAACACAAGTGGCATTACTGTATCTGGTGATGGTTCGTGGAGAAAACGCGGCTTTTCGTCACTTTTCGGATTCGTATCGCTTATTGGATGGCTTACTGGCAAAGTGGTCGATGTTTTAGTAAAGTCCAAATATTGTAAGAGTTGTGAATATTGGAAGAAAAGGTCGGATACCGACGAGTACAAGGAATGGGCCGAAACTCACGAAGATGAATGCCAAGCGAACCACGAGGGATCCGCGGGAAAGATGGAAGCCGACGCCGTCATCGGAATGTTCCAGCGCTCAGAATCTTTGCACGAATTGAAATATGAAAATTACGTGGGAGACGGAGATTCAAAAACGGTTAAAGCCATCTTAGATTTACAGCCCTATGGAAATTTTACAATTAAGAAGAAAGAATGCATCGATCACGTGCAAAAGCGAATGGGTACTCGCCTTCGCAATTTAAAAAAAAAGACAAAAGGCCTTGGAGGAAAAGGCAAGCTAACGGGCAAATTAATTGACGAGTTATCAATTTATTATGGTCTAGCAATACGTCGAAATCATCATTCTGTTGAAAAAATGCGTAATGAAATCTACGCGACGCTAGACCACAAATTGTCGACTGACGATGAACCGAAACACGACAAATGCCCGCGCGGAGAAAACTCATGGTGCTCATGGCAGAAGGCACAGGCTACTGGATCAGACCATACGCATAAACCACCTCTATCTCAAGAAGTTTACGAAGCGATTTCTCCAATTTATGACGAATTAAGCCGTGACGAACTGCTTTCTCGTTGCATCGGCGGCTTTACGCAAAATAGCAACGAGAGCTTCAACGCCACAGTCTGGTCAATGGCTCCGAAATCGACTTCCAGCGGCAAACACGTTCTTGACACGGCAGTTTATATTAGTGCAGGCATATATAATGACGGCCTATCAACTATCATGAGGCTCATGCAGAATTTGGATATGACAATTGGGCCGAACTGTTATAACTTCTGCGTGGAAACCGACAAGCGCCGCATTGACTTTTCCGAGAGATCGCTTAGCGATGCCGCAAAAAAGGCCCGAACATCCCTAAAACCATCTAGGAAGGTAGAGAAGGAGGCGAACATCGACCTGGATGGCCAAATGTATGGTGCAGGCATCGCAGATTAGAGGTAAACAAAAATTTCAAGGATTAAAGTGTTCATAAAGCATTAAACGCGTTTTTCTCGAAACCACTTTTTTCAAACTGGGAGGACGGATTTCTCGGTGACTATTGCATGGATCGATTTGAAATTTTTACAGTAGCTTCACAACAATATTCTCTTTGGAAGTACGTAGCCGTTTTTTGATTGAATGTAAACTTTTTTTTTATAAACAATTCAATGCTCATTTTTAGGGCAAAAAATCGATTCATTTCTTAAAAAGTGCACTACTTCCATAAAAATTAATTTAAAAAAAACCCCCTACGTACTTCCAAAGCCAATTGTATATAGATTATAAATTTTTTTGGTTTTTTGTTCCAGGACTCATACATGGCGAGAAATCCGTCCTCCCGTGGCAGTGTTTTTAAAGAAGCTGTTTTCGACGACGGGCTCTGTCGCCGCCATTTTGTATGAAAATGAAAATAAAAAAAAATTGTTTTTCGTACTTCAATATGTGTTAAATAAACCCTCTTAAAAGAAATTCTATTCCGTTTGTCATACTCCCAAAATAAATTGTCAAATTTAGGTCTTTTTTTCTGCCTCTAGAGTGGTTTTACCCCTTAATTAATGGCTCTAATGTATCTGCATTGATAGACACCGGTAGTGACTTATGTTTAATGCGCGAAGACATGTACCATAAGATAGGATCACCGTCATTGCAGTTCGCGGAAATTACGTTTATTGGTACGGGGATGACAAAAAATCAGTCAACCAGAAAGTTCAAGGCGACTTTAGTTGTAGACGGTAATTCATTTGAGATAATAATTCACGTTATTCCGGATCACATTACACAACATGTATTAATAATAGGTCGTGATTTTTTGGATTCTGTAGTTGTTACTATGGTAGAGGGTCAGGTTACGATGTCAACCCGTCTAGAGTGAATGAGCAGGGGCAGGATATTTTTAAAATTAATCACGAAGTGAACAGTGTTGATCTGTCGAATATTGCGGATATAAAACAGCGTTGTATTGTTCAGGGAATGATTGATAAATATAATCCACGGCAGTCCGATGAAATGGACCTGAAAATGTCTATTGTCGTTAAAGATGACATTCCGGTATATCAAAGAGCGCGACGGTTATCGCCATCGGAGAAAGAGGAGGTAAATTCTCAAATACAAGAATGGAAACGCGATGGTATTGTGCAGCCAACCTTGTCTGATTATGCTAGCCCTGTAGTTATAGTAAAAAAGAAGGATGGGACGAATAGACTCTGTGTTGATTATCGAGAAATAAATAAAAAAATAGTGAAAGATCGATATCCTCTTCCTCTGATTGAGGATCAATTGGACTTACTACAGAGCGCGCGTATATTTAGTGTTCTAGATTTGAAGAATGGCTTTTTCCATGTTCGGCTGAACAAGGACAGCCGAAGATACACCACATTCATTGTGCCCGACGGTCACTATGAATTTCTTAGAATACCATTTGGACTTTGCAATTCGCCAGCAATGTTTCAACGTTATATAAATCTAGTTTTTAGAGAATTAATAGCTGCTAAGATAGTATTAACGTACATAGATGATATAATTGTTCCTGCCTTAAATACTGAGACCGCAATTGATAATTTAAAGTTAGTGTTTGATACAGCTAGTCGTTTTGGATTAGTAATTAACTGGAAAAAGTGTTGCTTCTTACAAAAGCAGGTAGAGTTTTTAGGACACATTGTAGAGGAGGGTGCTACACTTTCCTCAGAAAGGAAAAGTACCAATAAATGTGCGACAAGTTCAAGGGTTTTTAGGATTAACCGGATATTCTAGAAAGTTTATTCCATACTATTCGCTGATAGCTAGACCGTTAACCGCTTTGTTGAAAGCTAATGTTAATTTTAATTTGGGAGATGAGCAGTTGAATGCGCTTAATCATTTAAAAATCATATTAAGTGAAAAACCAGTGTTGCGTTTGTATAAAGTCGGGGCAGAAACGGAATTGCATACCGACGCCTCCAAATTCGGCTACGGTTCAATTTTGTTACACCGTAATAGTGATAACAATAAGATGCATCCAGTGTATTATGCAAGCGGTAAAAGTACTGAGGCAGAGGAGAAGTATTGTAGCTATGAGTTAGAAGTATTAGCGATAATTAAGTCACTTAAGCGTTTTCGGGTATATCTATTAGGCGTTCCGTTTAAAATTGTAACCGATTGTAAAGCATTTGCCCTTACAATGAAGAAAAAAGATTTGTGCGTGCGTGTGGCAAGATGGGTGTTGTTGCTGGAAGAGTTTCAGTACGTTATTGAGCATAGGCCTGGAAAAAGTATGTTGAATGTGGATGCTTTGAGTAGGCATCCGTTGCCAGTGTGTATGGTAATGAATGAGTGTAATGATGGGATTCTAATGCGTATTAGGAGGGCGCAAAAAGATGATGGAGACCTGCACAAAATTTTTAGTTTGTTGACAAACAATGTACATGAGGATTTTGCGTTAAGGGGCGGGTTGTTGTACAAGGAGGTCAATAATGATTTTTTGTTGGTGGTGCGCAAAAAATTGCAGTACCAGGTTATTCGTAGAATTCATCAGAATCGTCATTTTTCAGTGGGTAAAACTGAAGCTATATTGAAGAAAGAATATTGGTTTGCAGAAATGCAAGTAAAGATTGAAAAAGTGGTCCGTAACTGTATAGATTGTATTTTGTCTGAGAGAAAGAAAGGGAAGCAAGAAAGTTTTCTGCATGCAATTGACAAGGGTGATATACCGCTGGAAACATATCACATAGATCATTTAGGGCCCATACCGTCAACAAAAAAAAAGTTATCGTTTTATTTTTACTGTAGTTGATGCATTTTCAAAGTTTACCTGGATGAACCCGAGTAGAATAATTTCGGACCGGGGATCCGCGTTTACCTCTCACGCGTTTGTTGAGTATTGTCAGACTGAAAATATTAAGCATACCATGATAGTTACTGGTGTTCCAAGGGGTAATGGTCAGGTGGAGCGTGTTCATAGAACCTTAATACCCGCTGTTACAAAGCTCGCAAATTCTCGTCCAGAAGACTGGTATAAGCATTTAGAAACAACTCAGAAGTTTTTAAATTCTACCCCTCATCGTAGTATAGATGTTACGCCCTTCGAATTACTATTTGGAAGGCGTATCAAGCTGACGGAGGATCTTCCAATTCGGCAACTGCTCCAGGAAGAATGGATGGGTTTGTATCAGGAAAATCGTGATGAAATTAGAAGGTGTGCCAAGGAAGCTATATATAAAATTCAGATGGAAAATAAGAAAGCATACAATCGTAAACGTAAAAGCCTCAGATTCATCAAATAGATGACATGGTTGCCATTCAACGAAGTCAGTTGGGGCCGTGGTTAAAATTTGCTAATAAATTTTTAGGGCCGTATGTAGTAACAAAAGTTTTACGTAATGATCGTTACATGGTTTGTAAGGTGGGCGATCACGAAGGACCTCAACAGACGTCCACATCTGTTGACCATATGAAGTTATGGATGGACACGGAAACAGATTTTTCTAGCGAGGATGAAGTGAATGACCCCTGAGGTCAGGAGTCATTGTAGGATGTCCGAATGTGGTATGTGGATGAATGTAAAACAATCGGCCCTTTCCGGGGCCACGAATTTTCCTAACGTAGTAACAACACGTTGGATTAAAAATACATTAAGTGATTGTGTCGGGTGATCGGTGTTAGTGCAGTGCAGTGAAGTGAATACATATTCGATGGATTAACCCGGCGGCACTTGACGTTGCAACTCTTAACGTCGGCTGGTGTCGCATACCTGCGATCACCTGTGGCATGGACTCTACCCTGCCATAAACCATTTCGTCCGTCGATGCCCAGGCTCGGTACACTGACCTACTGACGCAGGTTTCTACGCTGCAGGTGAATTTCCGTATGGGTGAGTTCTATTCAGTTTATTGGTCATTATTGTTTTATTAATTTCACCGAACGACAATCACTTCTCGTTTATTCTCTGTTACATTACCTTTTCGTTCACACGTTATTTGAAAAGGAAATTTACAAATTCGTAAAAAGGAATTTACAAAAATGTAAATGTGCATTCGTCTTTTTACGTTACACATAATTTGCCTACATTTACGTTTCATTCATTAATCTCTTTAAATAATGAACGACAAATGATAAAAAGTAGGATTTTATTTGTTACGTCTTGTTTATTTGCTATTATTATACGCGGTTGCCTGCGATGCATGGTGACCTACTTGTTCGGAGCTTCGTACTACAAGCGTAGCGCGTCCTGATCTTGCTAAACATTTTGAACCCGTGTAAGAAACAATGTCACATGAGAGACAAGTTACAGGTTTAGTCACTGGTTTACTACAACCTTTGCAGGTTTTATATTGCGAATTGTTGGCCATTTTAACCGTGTACGTGTAATAATTTGAAATTTAGATGACAGTGTCCCGCGCATTTGGAATGAAATAAGCGGCACGTCAACAAAACACAACCGACTCGCGTGAGAGGTGATAGCTAACTTGTGCCCGCGGTATTTGAGTCGAATCCATTTGTATCGCATTAACTCTGATTACTCAATAAAATTCGCAAGAAACGTAAATACCTTCTTTCAATTGTCCTGTCCACGAGTATCCATGAAATTAATCCGCACATGCACGTACATCACAGAAGTCCGCGAAAAGTGTCCACACATACACTGACCGATAATTCCGTCCGCGAAAAATGTCCACACACACTGCGCGATTGTCCCCTCCGCAAAAAATGTCCACACACACTGCGCGATTGTCCCGACCGCGAAAAATGTTCATACACTGCGCGATTAATTAGACCCGCGAGCGGTTCCTCCGTTGGGTTCAACACTCTACACGTTACACAAAACTAACACTCAAAATAATTAATTTATAACAACTATTTATTATACTAATTTTCAACACGCTGTAATTAATAAAACCTACAATATTTAATAAAACCTGCAATAATTAATAAAATCTACAATACTTAATAAAACTTACAATAATTAATTTGCACTATTTCTA